CTTATTTTTATTGAAATGAAGTTTAGAGGGACAAGTAATCCCCATCTGGTGGAGTACCTCAAAGTAACAGTACTTGAGTAAATGCATTTAGTTACCTTCCACCACTAATCCATAAATGTCACTCTTGTCATCAAAGTCAGAATATATCCTCTGGGGAACATGCCCATCTGTAGAAAACTTCATAGCAATCAAACAAGTGCTTTAAAACACCTCCCAATAGTTGGTCAAATGTAAGTACTCAGATCCTTTAAGAGAAACAAAATGTAGAATTTTGAAAATAATAATAAAACATGCATGTTGCATTGAAATATTCCTCCTTTAAACTTTAAAGGGGAACGACACCCATTTTCAAAATTCATGTCATTCCTGAGGGTCTAAGAGTCTAAAGTCATCAGCGAACAAACTCTCCCAAATCCAAAAACTAGGGCTGAAACTAAAATGTGATTGTCAAAGTATAAAGTCTTGTGTTCCACAGTATTGGGAAAGTTTATATAGCAGACAAAGAGCACCCAGGGGTTTTCTTCTGGCTACATTCTGTTTCACAACTGAGAACACTAGAATAAAATAAAGCTCATTTAGGTATAAACAAAGAAAACATGGGTTTACAAAATCAGTCTCATTCATCGTCTATGGCAGCACTTCTCAACCACTGGGCCGGGTCCACTGGTGGGCCTCAGAGTGCCATCCAGTGGGCCGCGGAGGTACTGCCAACAGGTTAGAAAAGAGAAATCTAAATTTAATTAAGAATAAATAATGTTCACTGGGATGCAGTGACACAAAATGATAGTTTCATTTGGAAATGAAAAAGTGATGTGGGAGACAACCCTGCACTCGTAAAAGCTCCCAGGCGTGTGGGGAGGAAACATGACCCTGAATCACTTTTGGATTCATAATGGCAGGTAGTGATGGGTGAGTGTAAGCAGAACATTTTATTTTATATTAATTACATCCGAGAGAGGCAAAACCCATTTACAGCCCAGTTCATTTGTCATTTATTTGAGAAGGTGGTCCTCAAAGTTGGAGTAAATCCTTGAGGAATTGAAGTTGAATATCTTTTCTCAACTCCTGAAGATTTGTTTTTTCTGCACTGCTTTGCATTTGAAGCATGCAGATGACAAGCGCTTACTCCGGATAATAAAAGAGTTGGACGAAAGCATAAGCAAAACATTTATTATTTTCATTATTATAAGCTCTCCACAGGACGGACCGTGACAGAAGGCTGCAGTGGTTGGAGACGAGGCCCCTGGCTGAGAGCCCTCGGGATATTGACAGTGAATGAACGCCATCCCTCTAGTGGTTTGATCAGTTACAATGCAACATTCAAATTGAGACTGACTTCAACGGCAGCTTCAACATCAATACTCTGAGGGGAGACGGGTCAGGTCTCTCTACTTCCACTGGCCCTTCTCGTAGTCCCACTTGGATGAGAAGCCCTCGATGGGGTTCATCCTCATGTCCAGAATCCTCTGGAGCTGTTTGGCCTGCCACTCGTCATCAAAGGTCCTGGGACGTGGAGGGTAGACTGCAGCAAACGAGTAGAGACATATATATATAATGTGTTGACTACAGTGTACTCCATGTATATTAAAAAAAACATGCATGCAAGATGCTGCAAATTTTTTTTTTTTTTTAGCTTTGCATGGGATTTGTTTTATTCTTTTTCTCACAGCGGTCATTTTGACCCGTCAAACACTGGTGTATCTCAAAAAGCCTGAAGTGCATTTACAGGGCTCTGGTTTCATACGTGCTGGCTCACTGACACTTCACAGGACCAGGGCCAGCGTTAACGTTGTTAGTCACAGCTGCGCCTTTTCTGCGACGATAAGTGAAAATGTCTGCTGTGAGAAAATGGATGTGTGCCAAGTGAGAGGCAGTGACCCCAGGTGTGGGATGTGCATGTGTGAAAAAGGAGAGGATTTCAAAGAGACGGGGTTTGTCCTCTTCAGAGTAAGAGGTTTACCATAGACTCTCTGCCACCAGACCACCAGGCCTGTGAAGCCCATGAAGATGAAGATGCCCCCAACGATGGTCTTCCACTCTGATCGCGGCTGCTTCATCTCTGGGTAGGTCTGATTGAACATGAGCCGGTACACTGCAGGGGAGGGGGTGAGGGAAGAGGTGAAGGACAGGAGAGATGGGTGAGATAGAGGGCAAGAAGAGAACATGGGGACGCGTACCATTAAGAGAACTCGACATAGTGACAAACTTGAAACAATGACTCAGCTGCAATGTCTCTGGTCCAACCTTGTTGCATTTCATGCCCCCTCTTTTTCTCCACATTTCCATCTTCAAAGGTTCGCTATGCTATATATTCAGAGCATTAATATAGCAGCAATCCACTACTTGCTATGTGAAGATATATGTGTAATGTCTGCCTGAGCAGAGAAGGCTGGCGGGCCCCACTGGCTAGCTAATGTAGGTCTGCACAGCGGCGCTCATGAGGCGGTCACAACTGGTCACGCCATCCCGACCCACAGTGTCTTCGTGGAAGCCTAGCTCCCACCCTGCGGTTTCCCCTCATGTTAAAACACCGTTAGCTCTGTTAGCTGCTAGTCGCCGGCTCAGCTGTCGCCATGTTGAGAGCCACGTGGAGGCAATGGTTATGCTGCGAGTTTCCTACTGAGCACTTTATAAAAACAATAACGTTTAAATATGTGAAACAATGGATGGACCATTGCTCCCTCTTCTCCCGTTCATTTTACAAAACAAATACTGAGCATGATGTCGGTCAGAAGTCACATGATCACCTACAGTATATGCTGCCTTCCTCCCATTGTTCTTTCTTTGACTCAAGCCATGTTGTGTGCGTCATGCAACTGTTTTTTCCTCATTTTATATACGATTATCACACAATTTCTGTTGAGATCTTTGAATTAATATTAATGATATTGTTCTGTGGTTTAATTGACTGTATATTAAACTATTGTATTTTTATCATCACAGATTTTGAAAAATCATAATCAGAGTTACATTAATTAACTATAGCCATAAGATAAAGTGGAGTAGAAATATAATGTAGCATAACATTTATAACACTCTTAAAAAGTGTACCTCAGAATAATACTTACTGTAAGAATAGTACTTCTGTACTTGGTTGCTTTCCACCACTGGTTACCCCGTGTTTTTAAAATTAATCGTTGTCTATGAATATCGAGATGACTTGTCAAATCTGTTGTGACGTGTGTTTTGGGCTGTGTTGTGTGCCTGTGAGTAGAGAAGAACCTACAAGCAATCTTCTCCTCGTTGGTCAGCTGGCTCCAGGGCCCCTTCTCCTTCTGTTTCAGGCTCTTGTCAGCAGCAGTCAGCTCATCTTTGTAGGCTTTGTCAGGCAGAGGGGTGTCCAGGCGGTCCCAGTACATTGGCCGAGACATGTCCACTGTCTCTGACACCTCTGGATGGACAGAGACAGGAAGGGTCACTTTTGGAACCAACTGCTGCAACAATGAACATTCAAGAGAACAGTGAAAAAAACAACAACTCTGCTTTAGAAAATGGGAACATGTGTCAAACACAATGGCCCTGATGACCATCTGTCTACATGGATGCCACGTCATATGCAGCAACATCTGCTGGTTTGAGGCCACTTTCCACTGAGGCCTCGGTTTTGGTACTTCGGCCATCTGAATAATGGAAAAGTTACCAGCGTACCAAGTTCCAGCAATGATCTCCAGGTATGCTTTTAAAAAATGATATGTACTGGTGTAACACCAAATTCTGTAACCCTCGATTAGACAAAAAAGGGCATTCAGATATTTACGGATGATTAGTGCTCTGCAGTTGAAGACAACACATCTGTATCTACAGGGTAGATGTCTTCCCTTACATCTAAAAACTATGGAGGCAACTTTTTGGTTGCCTCCATAGCTGCTATCAAAATATTTCCAGAGGAAGTTTCCAGAGGTGGAGGAGGTATTCAGGCCCTCTACTTTAGTAAAAGTACAAATATCACACTAAAAACACCCCGTTACAGTAAAGGGCAGCCGTGGCTCAGTGGGTAATTATCTACAACTATTTTGTATAAGACTGCAAGTAATAATTATTTTCATTATTGATTAATCTGCTTAATATGTTCTCTATCATAATAGTTGCAAATAAATCTGATTAGTTGACTAATAATTTCAGCTCTTGCAGTCTGTATACTGTTGGTTAGTTTAATCTATATCAAAACATATTTAAGCTCTTTGCTTTGTATGCAAAACTCTTAACCCACAAAGTAGCCTAGCTAGTAGCTAAAGCTGTCAAATATTTGTAATGTATTGTCCAATATTTCCCTCTGAAATGTAGTAGAGTTGAAGTATAAAGTACTACATTTGTACTTAAATACAGTACATATACATACATATATACATATACATA